GGCCTGCCCTAATGATTCTTTGGGAGTTTTGGTGCTTGCCATGAGACTAGGATAGATGATGTTACTAAGGCTTGCCCATCCCTCAGACCATTACAGCTTTTCCATGTGGGCAGCAACTGTAGTGCTGGGTAATCTAGAGCATGTTAAGAGTTACTGCAGAGCTCTGGGCTCAGGGAGAAGGTATGGGGGCCTAGGTGACGTTTCCTCAGTACTGCTACTGAGACTCAGAAGCTCAAGCAGAAGTCAATTCATCTGAAAGAGCAACACCTGATTTTGTTGCTGGTGGTATAATCAGAGCATCCACTTCAGTGACTGATTACCTCTGGTCATGCACACAGTATTTCAGACACACAATAGCAAAATTAGCAGAACAATACAGACATAACAATAAAACAGATAAAATATTAACTCCTCCCATTTCTCTTACTGACTTTCATCCTTTCTTCTGAACTAGAAGGTGCCACCATACTGCAACTGTAATCAGTACTCCAAAGCTGCCTTAAAGCCTCCAGATCCTCAGTCACATCACAACAGTGGTTCAGTGATGGAAGGTAAAAGATATTATGGAAAATCCTGTGAGCACTAGGCAGAACTCTTTAAATGAAGGTAATTGTTCAGGAGTCATCAGCAGAGCAAAGTAAGTAAGTGCCAGTACTGTCATAGCAGCTACAAGAATGCCGTGAGTTGTTCAGCAGTTTCATGAGACTTCATGAAGCAGAGAGCACAGATAAGAAGGCAGCAGCTTACATGGAACATATATGAATCTTGTTTGAGGAAAAGAAGTATTATTCACAATCATCTGTGGTTGTTCTTACTGTGTTCAATATGTTGCTATCCTTGACATTGTATAAATACTATGGACTTAGGCAATGGTGTTTCACCTCAGGAATCACATCTCCTGCATAGAGGATGACATCTGTAAGGGCTTGCTTGAGGCCTCACAGGACTTGTGTAACAGCAGTTTAAGACACAAGTAGCAATCAGGATAGTAAACCTGAGACTTCCCCTGAGACTCAGCTGCATTGTAGTCGGAAAACCTGAAGATGTTTTTGAGTTCTGTCCTGGAGAAAAAGGTCTGAAATGTGACCTGTGTGAATCACCTTTGTTTGAGGACAATCATACAATGCAGGGAAGAAAAAAAAAGTGATTGTGTTGGATGGAAAAGAGCAGATTTTCTGACTTGATATTTGTCTCTTGGAGACACGAAATTTGCCGGGGAGCTTATACCATCTTATACTCTTGGCAGATATGCCGTTTCTTGCCTTTGGCTAGTAGATCCATCCCTGATTTCTGTGATAAGGATCAGGGATCCCTTTCAGGTAATCCATTGTAAACTCTCAGTGGGAGTCATTAACTGCAAAGTGTGTCCTAGCTGCAACTGCCTTCTTCCTTCCCTAGCTTTAGATTCTGTACTTCTAAAATACTCTAATAACCTTAGAAACCACAGCAGAAAAGTTTGTATATGTGTACAGCATTTGAAGGAATGCTTTCTCTACCTTAACTTCCAGACTTACCTGACAAGCTGGTGCCTGACAAGACTTGATTACATCAAAGGAAATATCAGTGGTATGATGTGGTTGTCCATGGGATATTTTTTGCTTCGGGAAAACAAATGAAATGTTACCAGGATTCCAGTAATAATGTGACTTGTATTTTACTTCTTCCACCTAATATGCTAGAATTCATTCCTGTTTACATCTGTACATCAGTCCCTGTAGGGTCTATGTATGGCTCAGATTTTCTATCATGGGCCATGCCTTAGGTTCTAGCCTGAGTGTACAGTACAATTCCGGACAAAAGTAAATATGCAGCAAGAAACTACGAATAAACAAGTTGTGATATGCCCAGGTAGTATTTGCCAGAACAAGTCTAATGAGAAGAGGAAAGATTTGCAAGGCAAATGTTTTCTGATAGAAGCATGAGATCATAGCAATAACAATATAATGCAAGAGTTGACCATAGCAATAACAACAAACAATAGCAGAAATCTCTGGAAAAGATACATTAGTGGGATAACTGTTTTGGTACGGGATGAACGAAAGCAGCAGTTTATTCTTGTCTTACACACATGGCACAACATACAGAACCATCACAAATAACTTACAAAACCTCATACACCATGCTTCCTCTCAAATAGCTTCTAGTAAGATACAACACCATAACGAATCAGGTATTTAGTTAAAACAGATTTCCAGACATGGATAGTCTCCCATTCAAGGAGTTACTATTTCTGTAAGCTACTTGTACAAACATCGTTTTTTTACATGTTTTAATACAGTACATTATCCTTAACAGAGTTCAAGATATTCACAACGAGAATTGAATACTTTATAAAACAGCAGAATTTCTCATCTCGATATGGGTCTACATTTGCTCCTGCCTTATCTGGTTTACAGATGTGTTACAAGTCATCTTTACTCAGCTTTCCAAGCTAAACATTGCTTTAAATGGAAAAAAAAATTCTATTTACAGGGCTTTTTGTAAGATTTAATAAAAATGTCTTTTCTTCCCTTTCCCATGCCTATCCCCTACCCCTGCCAACAACTGCCATTTAGCTGGTAGAAATATTAACCCTCAACTTGCTATAGAAACTTCAAAAAAATTGATGACACCTTGTTGGATGCAAAATGAAAGATGGTCACAGCCCATCATTAATTCAAAAAAGTGGACTTTTTTTCTCCTAATGTCAGAATTTGTGTCCATTGGAGACAGATGACTCCTGCCATCCAATTTCTAGAGACAATGTACCACTCACGGGCTAATATACAAAAACTCTTTTTTTTTTTAAATTACACTCTGTCCCACTATCTTTCGTGCAATCACTTTCAGTATAAAGTTCTTTGCTTACTAGAAATAGTAACAACTCTGGTTGTGTGGTACTGACTCTAAGTCTCCCAGCCTCCATCAGATCAAAAAGTTTATCCCCTTACTGACGGCATTGCTGGGTTGACTCACAAGAATAGTTTTGCTCTATGGTTGCACTTCAAACAGCACTGAAGCCTGTAGGCATCTTTCCTTTGACTAGGTCGCTTTGGATTAGCTCTGCTTCAACGTGGCTGACAAACTCTAGCCCTTAAGCAGTTAATCAGCTTTCTAAAGAAATAAGCAAAAAAGATACCTCTCATTTATACATACAATACGCAGTTTTTTTACATTGAGCATTATCATAAAAAGCATGTTTATGTTATTTTGAAAATGTATTTTTACAGAACTTTATAAACACCATTATATCAAACACATTCTCAAAAAACTGGAGAAAATACTGACACACAACCTGGAAGAACCTCAGCAGAATTCTTCCACTACTATTAGTCTACTTGCATATTTCATATTTCAGTGTCCTTTACTGCAAACATAATTTGGCCATATGAGAACAGGTAAAGTTGACAATGAATCTCCAACAGTTTTGAATAAGACCTGGATCTGTTGTTGAAAGAAAGCAGTTTGGCATCCACTGTATGTTTTTATTACCTGGCATGCCTCTTCTGTTACCTTTACTTGCACTGAGAAATACCTTAATTACTAAATAGTCTCATTCAGTTCAGTGGGATTACAAGTGGTGAAATGACGTAGGCAAAAATACTGAAAATGATTTTCTACTTATTAAATCCTTCTTATGTCAACAACATGATTATATTCTTCTTTACATATATTGAAATTGAAAATTATATAGGAGTAACTTATGTGAACAATTCTGTATCATAAATCAGTGTAGAAACTTCAGGAAATAATCTGCTTATAGTTGTGCTATAGATCTGACAGCCTAAAAATCTATCTGGTGTGACCAAGAGTAGATTTCACAGGTCTAAATGCTTTATTTATATACTTGTTTATGTCACATTTGGTACTTCCCCATCCTGGCACAATATAAATTTAAACATATATATGTCACACTAACATGAAATCAGGATGTTATTTTCCCTTACCACCAACAACATTTAGTACAATGAATAATGAACATTAATGCATGTAATCTAAGTAAAATGCACTTTTCAAATAGTATCTAACACAATATTGTATAAATTATATTATGAACTTGGTTTCCTATTCTGAAGAAGTTTAAAAACACATTTAACTTTGTGTGTTGAGAGTAGTCTTAGTGACTGTAGCAACATTACTCACAGTTCAGGAAGTTAAACAGCAGAATAAGGTTTTGTTCTCTATCGCTCTACTTCATTTCCTCTTTAGTGAAACTAAAGAGGAAATAACTTTTGTGTAAGTGTTACTGAATGGCTTAAAATATAATTGGTGAAAGGTCATTGACTGCAATCCTGTATGTTACTTCTTCTCAGTAGAAATGCTTTCCCACGGCTTGAAATGTTTAAAGTGTAATCCTTGCTAAAGGAACAAATCCAAACCAAATCTAATCCCAAATTCTAGCTATACTGTAACATGTGCAGTCAGCCATAAAGGAGCCCTTTTAACAAAATAATGTATGTTAACTAGCTTGCTCAACTATTAGTAGAATGTATCTATTTTGGCCACTGTAATAAACCCCGTTATATATATGCATATTAAAAAATCCAGGTGTAAATAATTATACAGTATTTCCACGCATGAAACAACTAGCTGTATGTGGCGTGATATATAAAGCAAATAACTGAAACTCTCTTTAGTCTTTGGGATGATCAAAGTATAAGTAACCAAACTTACAAACAATGATTGAATTTTCATAAAAGAAGGTTTTTGATAGACAGACAGAAGGAATTCCCTTCCTACTGACCCTCATTCCCCTTGGCTTTTAGTGATTCATCCCTTCCCCCCATTAAGCCACAGGTGGTTTTTTTAGATCTTGTGATACAATTTGACAAGTTTATCTTTTTCTTTAGAATAGTACTAATAAAGTTTCCAGTAACTTTTTCATAAAACATCATCTGATCTCATTGAAGTTGATACTGCTTCAGAAGTTTCAGATTATTTAAACTTCAGAAGAAAGTTAATCTGATCCAATTATGTTCAAGTCTAATGGAATAGAAATTTCTTTATTTACTGTAAAGATTTAGTTACCTTGCATTTATATATAGCAAAGAAAGAAAACTGCTCCTTGCCTATAGAAACATACATAGCTTTTCGGGTTCCAACCCCTCTCTAAGCTCCTAACCATCACACAACATATGCCATTTGGCAATTTGTCTCCTAGGATATTCACAAATTTCTTTCCAGTGCTCTCCACCTGTTCCTTCTGCTGAAGATCCCAGTGTTAACCGGCCAATGATTTCATTCCTTGACCCTCTATCTGAATCTAAAACCAAAAATTCAATGCTGATATCATCAAGGCCCTCGCAAGGAATGTCAAAGACAAACAATTCATTGAACACTGCATTGGGGGTGCATTTCTTCACATGGGTTTTCTTTTTAGAAATTCTCTTCTTAGCATGATATAGGTTCACTTTGACATAAGGGTCTGCAATGAAAATAAAAAGCACAGATCAGCCATTTAACTGCATTTAAAAATTCTTTGGCCTAATTAACAGCAAATTTTATGCCTTACTAAAAAAATTACATCACAATAAGGAGATGTTTTAAGTTATTAAAGAAGATTCATCTCGTCCGATATTTGTGTGTTCATTTGAATTAATCCTTTTAAGCTCCCATTATGATCACCAAAGATGTAATCAAGATAGTCAATGAGGTTTAGGAAGTGATTCATCTGACCAAATGCAGGTGTCTCCTGTTCCTTTTGACTTTACTAGGTCTGTTAGGAGACCTTGATACCAGTGATCAAGTAGACCAAGAAGGTGGTGGGGATGGAAGAGCTTTTGAGCAAAAAAAATACCATCTTCCTAAGCATATTGAGTTATGCAGTTGTTTATCTAGCCCCATAGAAACACAATTTCACCCTCCTCTTTGTGTAAGATTTATGTTGTGCTGAGGGGAAAGTCACGAAGGAAATAAGTACCGTTGTGAGTGTAGTATGTTACTGACACACAAACATCTGTGGAAACTGTCCTTGCTGATGTACAGCAAATAATGAAGGACTGTCTAAATGAACTGGGTGTTCAGGTGTGGCATGGCTGCCCATATCTCTTAGAAATATTATATTCCTATTGTACTTAGCAAGGCTGTATGGAGGAAAACAGAAAGAACAAACAGATTTATAGCTTTGCTAGTAAGAAGTACTGTAAACAAATGCAGAGTTTGGATATGCTATAGGGTCCAGGTGGCTGCTGACACTATGAGGGCTTTTCTTTTCAAGTTATTTTCCCACCAGGGTAAATCTCAGCCAGGCTTGGTCTGATAAGATCAGCTTGCTGCCATGTCATCTTCATGAAACCTCCACTATCTGCTGTGACTCTGGGGTTGATTATTGTAAGTACATATGCTCTCTTACAGTGGAGTAAAGTGTTTGACTCCATTTATATCCTTTCTCCTTATGATACGTGAATAAAATTGAGATCAGAAAGAGGATCTCAATGGAACTCCACCTTGTAAGTGGGAGTTATCTACAGCTTTGTTTTACTGGATCCAGGATGCGTTAACTTTCTAGGTAAATTACAGTATTTCTTGGTATGAGTAGAAAGACTCTATTATTGGTTGTAGTAATTATGACTCAGTGGTTCCTCAAATTACTTCCTCTTCTGCTTCTTTCAAAAAATGTTTCTGAAATGAAAGAATATCAGTCCTACACAGAATCAACAGCAAATGTGTTACTCTATGTGCAGTCCTTTGTTATGTACTGTCCTTTTCATGTGGTTGTCTTATCCTTAGTATATTGTACATTAGATTTTATTCTGTTATTATTTATTTAGCTTTATTGTACATTTACATACAGTTCTAGTATTGGCTTCAAAGGAGGTTCTGAATGCAAAATAGCACAACAAGACCAAAAGAAGGGAGTGCAAAAACTGCTCCTTCTCAGTGCACCACAAGTGCAGCTCGTGCTAAAGCACAGGTGTTCCTTTACAACCTGCTTCCAGCACTGGCACAGTTCACCTTTTCACTTTGCCAAATACATCTTAGTGCTCAGTGGGCTACATTCAACACATATGTAACTGGTTACTTTTCTTGGTGCTAAGATGAAATAAGCTGCAGGATTATATCACTCAATTCTGATCTTCTGCAAATAAACTGATATTTGTCATAAATGAAATCTTTTAGTACCTGCAAACAGCATCTCATACTTATGGCAAATAGGTTCTGTTCAAGATAATCACAAAACTCATTGGTTTCCACTGTTAATTGATGTCTTTTTTCTAATGTGATTGAAGAACAAGTTTACAAAGCATACATCCTGGAAAATAAAGCATTGACCTAGATATAAAAAGAATGAATAGGCTGCAAATAACAGCAACACCATTTCTTCATTTATGGGATGTTTTTGTTCTTGAAATGCCACATTTCAGCTGTCTTCTGTTTGTTTTATATTCTTAGGCAATATTCTTTTGTAAAACCATTACCTGATAATCCTGACACATCAGATTTAGGTAGATGCCTGGCTTTTAAAACAACCACGGTGAGCGTGTTTGTTGTAGACTGATAACAGAGAGAGATCAGTAATTCTCCACGTCCAGATGATTTCTGAGGAAATGAAAGAAAAAAAGAAATATGACTATTTGAAAGAAATTATATTGATCAAGCTTTAAAACAGAACTAAGAAGATTTATGAAATGTCACATAAATATATGTTCTGAAACGGTTTAAAAGGATACAACTTATGGAGTTATGCTACTTTACATAACAAATATCATTTCCCTCTACCGTAGTTACAGAAGTCTTCTTACAGTTGGTTATTAGACTGAAGAAAAATGAATAATAAATGAAAATATATGTTGACGTGGCATCATTAGCTTCAGAGATTAGAAATTAAATGCTACATCCTGAGAAAAAAATCTCAGTGAACAAAAAACGTCTCAAGCCAATCAAAATTCTGTAAAAGACATATTAAAAAAAGAATAGAGGTAAATAAAAAAAAAATCAGTGAGATGTTTTTAAACAGGAAGGATTCAAACACTTAGTGAAATCTCATTCCTGACATTTTTTAAAGTAGTATAATATATGTGAAATAAAAATGAGATCATTGATTTCCTCAATGATTACCAGAATTCAATTTGCGGGATTACTTTATTTTAGAGAAAGACAGAACTCAAGAGAAACAAGCAAAAATAACACCTTATATACCAGAAAACCCAATAAGTTATCAACAAAATATCAGTGACATAGTTATAGTTGTTGTAATATAGTGATAGATTTGCTAAATAACAGTATTAGTTATGGATATGTTGTCTGGAAGGATTTTATTTGATTTTCTACATGCTTGCTCTTTGAAAACAGTCAAACTGAAAGTCAATTCACATCCCACTTAGTAGAGATTAGGAGAAATGTGTGTGATGCATGTGCAATTCTGTAGTTCAGCTGTGATGGTTTTAAATGATCTTTACATTCTGAAATAAGACAAAATGCTATGAAATATTTTTAGCCCAGTGAAGTCAAGTATATTTTGCATTGACTTTGGTAAGGCTTTGGCTTCTCTCTCATGTCTTACTATCTTTAGCAGAGCTGCAGCCTGTGTTACAATTCTAGAGAGAAAAGGTAATAACAGCACCAAAGTGCAACAACATATTACTGCATGAGCAATACAGTCTCTAACAGGTTCCATTTCCTTAACTAGAGACTATCTGCATTCTCTAAGAACCTGCTATAAAACCTGTGTAGTTAGGGTGAAAGAATTACATTGACTTCAATAAGCCTTAAGAAAAAATTATTTCAAACAGAAAAACAGAGGGAGGAAAGGGGAATAACATATAAATCTTTGCATTCTTTCTTTTTAAAACAAATTAATGTGAATTGAGGCTTCTTGACCTAAGGTAAATGGGTCCACTCAAACCCACTGCACCAGCTAAGTAAGCAGGTAGAGTTTAGGACATTAGTAATTTCTTGCAACATGCTCATCACAATGTTCTTTTATTACATTTGTGTAGTTACTTCCTCCTGCTGGCATTACGAAAGCATCTCAATGACTTTCATGATTAACTTGTTCCATTTTCTTTCCAAGATGCTCGTGACATTACACAAGAATCATAGCTAACACTAACACAAAATTTTCAAGCTTTAAATAAAAAATATGTTACCCTAACATTTCTTTTGATGATCTCTCTGTCCATTAGCAGCCTTCCTTCTGACAATTCAGTTCCTGCGAGAGGAATGAGGACTTCTCCAATGATATCATCTCTGGAAAACCTGTCAAAGCTCAAGATCATAAAGTGAAGTGTTAAGTCTTGAATTTGGCTATAGGGGATCCCATAAAACGTGAAGGTCTCATCAAAAGCTGGATCTAAGGTTTTTCTCAGCACTCTGGTTTTCACCTTGTGTTTTTTCTCAGGTAGGATTGTCATTTTGATGTAGGGATCAGAAGTCATTGACTGTTCATCCATTGCTGGAAGCCCACGTGCTTCTTTGATGTTCACTACAAATGCCTTTTTCTCAAAGTTGTACTCTAAGGAGAGAAAGAGAGTTCCTAGCTTGTCTTGTTTATCTTCAGATGACAAGGAAGTAATGGATTTTAAACTGTCAGGGGATACTGAATCTTTCTTCCTTTCTACAAAGTGCTTAGGAGACAAATTTTCAAGATCTGGAGAGCTCTGGATTTTAGGGGTTGTTTTGGGGAAGTTGCCATTTAGATCTCTCTTCTCCAGGTCAAGATGGAGAGAATTCTTTGGCATCGCTGATTTATTCTTTGCTTCACTTTTGTCATCTGCTCCAAACTTCTTCTTACTGTTGAGATTCTCAGGGTAAATATCAACCCCTTTCAGAACATGGACAAACTTATACGGAGGGGTCTTATTGGATTTGGAAGATTTACGCTGGCAGCAAATCCAAGCAAAAAGGGAGACAGAGAAGACAAGGCCAAATGCACTAAAGATCCCAACCACTGTAGGAATTTCATCTGCAAATCAAATAAATAGCAACAAGAACATAAGCAACAGTGCCTTGGACTCTGTGTAGTATATAAAAGTAATAATTTAAAGCAATATATAAATATATATATAAAATATAAAGTAATAATTTAGTAAAACAAACTGATATAAGATGGTAATAGCAGCACGATCGACAGACTGAAAGTGCTTTTCATGGTACATATTGCTCGCCACCTGCAGGCATGAATCTGTAGTTCCATACTAAGGCATGATTGTATTAGTATTTTTCCATACACAGAGTGTTTGGGAGGAAAATACTATTCCCAACCTAATAGTAATAACCATCAGTAATTGATTGACTATCTCATCCCTCTGTGTGTAGTTTCTGGGTTTATATGTTTGTGAGTAATATCAGCTCTTAGAAGGTTTCAGCTTTCAGTTTATGGAGCTTTTTTTGGTTAGATAATACAGATTCTGAAATATACATTACTTATAGATACATTGTCTGCTTTCACACTGCTTCCTAGAAAACTTCGTAGACTCAATTGACTCATTTTTTATGGTCCGATCCCATAATTGCCTGGAGGTGTCTCTTGAAAGAACTGAGTTTAATTGGAGGTTATAACACTCAACAGTTTCAATGGGATTTTCAATACTTTGCAAGAGGAAGTCTACCAAGAAAATTTAGAATAATTATATGCCAAGTGTCTTTTCCAGACGCATGTGACATTGAGCAGTCACATGTGAGTCTCAAGCTGAAAGAAATATTAAGTATATCATTGACAGTCACTAAGCTTTGCACTTCAGACACTATCAATCAAAGCTATAGAGAGTTTATAGAAAGGGTCACTACTTTTTAGGAGTATATAAGAAAAATATTAAAACATAACTGTCTTCTGCCTTAATATGAATCCTACACTTAAACTAAATAAAGAGAAAATTGAGCAAGTGTTACAACCGCGATTGTTATGTGGATACATTAGTTATGTAGGGTGTCATTAGCCCTTCAAAGCATGCATCGAAGGGGCAAAAGAACACAACTAATTGGAAATCCAATTTTGCCCATAAGTAACATTACTAAGTGAATTTAGATTTTCCACAATGTAGCAATCAGAGCTTAATCTTTATTCCCTGCAACAGAGGAAGACTAGCAGAATATTAATGGAATGACATTGCATACACATAAAGGCAATTGTGTAACAGTTCTGCTTCTCTCGCAAATGATTAGTAGATCTTTCAGGATGAGAAAAGAAAAACTATTGCGCTTCATGTACTACTAAATCAGCTTCATTCAGGTAAAGCTGGGCAGACAGAAGTGCTGCCACTATGCCTTTGCGTTTTAGTGGAATGATTCAAAAAAACTGACAATAATACTATCAGAGCAAAATAAGACATAATGTTCCAGCACAGAAAGGATCAGGCCTGGTTATTAATTTCTTCTGACAATATTCATATCACTTTACCTTTGCTTACAAGCTCAACCAGCCTACATACTTCATTGCAAGAACTTAATGAAAAGACTGAAAATTATATACATAACCAAAAAGTATTTTTTGAAGTTAAACATGTGGTTTTAAGTTTCAAGAAGTCCCTGGGCAGAAGAAATTTAAATATACATTGTATAAAGGTAGAAAGCAAAGAGTAATTAAAAACTAATCAGAACACTTTAATAGCTTTTAAGAATGTTTTTCACATTTATAATACTTTTTCATATGATGACACAGTTTTTATAGCAATGGAAATTATGCTATATTTTAATTCTACCACTAATGAAAGCAGTGGTAGAATCAGTTTGGTGCTTAAAATATTAATTGTCTTCCTTAAATGAGTAATTAGACAAGCATGATGTCACTAGTGGGGTTAGAAACATCAAGTGGGTGGGGTAGGAAAGAAGATGAAATGGTAACTAAAAAGGTTTTATATTTACAACTAATTATGTTGCAACCTGAATTTCTTGCTGTTGTCATAATGTAAATCAATCGGTTAACATTCAAGGCAGCGTATTAATAGGAAACATCACCTATTGATCCTGAGAGAAGTTATTTTCAGTTATGTGATATAAATGTGAAGTCACTTCACTGAAGTCAATGGAATGAACCTTCAGGTAAATCACTTCTAAAGCAAATATAATCTAGGCTACTGTTAATATTTGTAGAGTTCAGAAACAATTCTACTTACTGCTTTTCTGAGCACGGCTATTTATGCATTTTGAATGTGCACATACATGACTGTTTCTAAAACTTATGGTATCACAGCTAATCACCCTACATCCAATGCATAGAAATGACACAACTGGAAAGTTCATTGTTATCATTGATCAAGTCGTGGTTGTTTAGCTGACAAAACTGTGTTCCTTTATTTTCATCTTCCTAGACATGTCCTTTACAAGACAGCCTTTCTCTTTAATGAATGGTTGACAAGTCTTTTTCTACGACAAGAATAAAGGAATGACAATTATTCCAAGAATGGCTTGCACAAAGATTTTCTCTCTGGTACAGGATACATTTACATCATTTAACCGTGAAGCCATGCTACTTAACCAAGACGGAGAAAACAACCCTAAACCTAATGAAAATGCGCCTACACAAACTTCTTAATCTTTCCTAGCTCTTTACCGGGGGGAATGGATAAGGACGAAGGAAGTGAGAAGGGAAAGAAAGCAATTTTGCACAACTTCTGAGATCGAATAGCACTGGTAGCAGTCAGGGTCCTCCCAACAATCTACATGCTGGGAGGCGCAGGGTGGCTCAGCAGGGGCTGCCTGCGTGCACTTCTCCCGGGAGCCCCACGGGCGGGGAGTTGGGGCCGGGACGCTCTTACCGAACTGCTGGCGGCTGGCCGCGATCGGAGCCATGTTGGCAGCGTGCGCTGTCCGCGGTGCTGGAGCCGCTGGCCGCCGTGCTGGAGCCGCTCCCCCAGTCTCTTTTCCAGCATTGTTTAAAAAAAAAGAAAAAGAAAACAACAAAATAAAACAAAACCCAGAGACACGAGCGGTGGGGAAGGTGGAGGAGGAGGATGCAAGGGGGCTGGAGAAAAGGGGGGAGGGGAAGCTTCAGTCTTCCCCTTTGCACACTGATTTGCAACCCCCTTCCTGTTTTGGCTTTTCTGAGTAGCTCCGCTCTGAGACTGAAGACGTGGTTGAAACCCAAATTGACGCAATCCTGACGCTACAGGGCTGAAATCAGCACCTTTCCCACCTCCCATCCCCCCCTCCCCAACCACCA